TCTCTGGGGAGCCCACGTGCCCTGTAGCAAAAACCTCTCCAAAAAAAAAAAACAAAAGATAAGCTTCGTTTACACTAACTATATCTAGTGTGACTTAAAATACAAATATGCTACTCAAAATCTAAAAATAAAAGAACTACTCGGATATAATCTAGATAGAATAAGGAACTTTTTACCCCAGTAGAATAATACATATTTACAATCTCCTGAAGCTATGTCATTTAAAGACTATCTTCTCAACATACTCTTCCTACAACAATTAAACATAACCTGAAGACAACACAAATATTGCTTATTTCAGAGCACAAATCTAGCAAGGATTATAAAATCGTCTAAGGAGACCAACAATTTTAAGGCTTTTTTAAATTTTTTTTTTCATCTCTCTATAAAAAGCACTGCTCCAGCCGAGATGGGACACAAAGCATTCAAGAAACGTACTTAAAATCAGTACCTATTAGTTTCATTTGGAAAAAAAAAAAAGCAAAACAAAAAAAAACAGCACTTATTCCATTTCTGACTGTGAAAGTAACGTATGTTCTCTGGAGAAAAAGCCACACTGACTTTCTGAGAGGAAGGCACGGCGACAAGGTTCAAATCCATTTACAAAGGAATGGCCTGGCCTAGAAGTCCAATGTTAGGTTTCCCATCTCAGTTCCCTCCAAGACATGCACACTCGGCATAAAGCTCTCCTACTGAAAACACCAAGCACCCTGGGACCACCAGACGGTGTAATGGCTATGTCACTGGACTCCCATGTACTCAACTGAGGTTCAAGTCCCGGAACTGGTGACTTCAAACTCATGCCAGGTGCATGTGCGTGTGTGCCCCAAACCCCAAGAGGAAAATGGAGGGGAAGGGATTGCACCATGGCCATACTTCCAGGGGTGATTTCTCACTTTCTTTCTTTCCATCTCTCTCTGTCTTGCCAGTGAGCGCATAGGCCCTATAGCAAAAATCTCTCTCAAAAGACAAAAAATGAAAACATGGCGTAACCCTTGCCATCCTCTAACCGTATTTCAAAGGGGAATGTGGAGGTTGGATAAATGTGCTATTGAGTTTTTGATGATCCATTTAAAAATGTCACTCTTTTTTTAAGAAAAGAATTATTTCTTTTATTTATCATCATTGTTATTTTTTCATTTGACTAGAGAGAGACACAGAGAGAAAAAGC